ATTACATTGATAAACTTACTAAAATATTAATTAACCGCAACAATTATTTATTGGATGTGATATCTATAATGTGCGATATAATCGGAATATTATTTACATATTTCTGGCCAAAAAAAAAAACGGTATAGATTACTGACATATAATACGCAACTGCAAGCAGTTTTCACTTCATTATCATCTCAGAGCATATGGTAATATTGATAACGGAAATTTTTTGGGTCACGCATAATGAACGTTTGCCTTCGATCACACGCGTGAACGCAGCTGGGTCTATATCCATTATAGATCGGTAACTCGATATCGATGTATTTTCTTAACGCTCGGCAAACATTCGTGTAAAACAAGTTCGGTTGCATCAGGTCAGAGGAAAGGTCGACTTCGAAGAAAGTGATACGTTTATTGTGGAGGATCAATTTTAGGGATATTATTTTTTTTAATAATTTATTTTACTCATATAATGACGTATACAATATATATATATATATAAATATATTGTTTATAATTAAATGAGTATCTTTATTTTTATTCTATATTTGTCATAGAATTTATCATCTAAGAGATATGTAAATTCGACGGCCGATTAAAACAGACATTAAATGCATTCTTAATAACGTATGCGAATATTAAACTCTGACGATGCACTTCTCGCGATAAGAGGATATGTGAACTTGCGTTTTACAGCGTATTTTAATGAAACCTTAAAACGCGTATCGAGTATCAGTCGCCTCAGGGAGATCCCGAGATGGATTGCAGAAGCAGAAAAGGACGAAGGCCCCTTGCATCCGGATACGTTCCTGTCCTGTCGCTCGTACGTCAACCCTCGTTGTTTTTTTGCCGCGCTCTTAATAATTGATCATCTGATTACGATACATTATACCCTCCCTACTCCGTTCCTGCTTCAGCGTACTGTCGGAAGGCATTATTCCTGCACCGAGAAAAGTAGTATCGGGACAGATAGAGATAAAGAGAGAGAAGAAGACAGAGAGAGAGAGAGAGAGAGAAAGAGGCAGCAGGCGAGAGAGGGAAACTTTTTCTTCCCGCCGCGCCCGGTGACGGACGGCCATTTGCATATAGGCCCCCTTATCGACAAACACACCGGGGGCGCCCTTCGTAATGAGGGCCCCTTCCCTTCGTTCGACGTCCCTCTTTCCTTTATTTTTTCAACGTGGACCGCCATTGTCCGTTAACTCATTCGTCGGGACAGTGTGGACCAGTAGTATCTCACTTCCTCTTCCTCGTTATTCTTGTCTCTCTCCTTCTTTCTGTCTCTCCCTTTCTCTCTCCTTTTCTTGCTCGTATTCCTTTTGCTCTCATTGTGCGAGGACGTAGGTTGTGTAAAAAAAAAGAGAGGAGTGGTGGAAAATAACAAAACTGGTCGGTCACATGCCGAAAAATATGAATCGTAGAGATAGAGGCGGATGCGTTGGCGCTAGTCTCTCGTGACATCTGCTTCCTGAAATAGGTATAAAAAAAAAGAGTCCACAAAGAGTTCTCGCGATCGTTTTTGCAGCCGTATATAATTGTAGTCGTGACAGTATGCAAATAATATCCTGCCTCTTGATTGTTTCATCTAGAAATAATCGTCAGTAATAAAAGACGAAAGAGAAAATATTTCCTACACGTAACAAATCATGATCTATCACATTCGAATTTTTTTATTTTTACTTTTATTCTCAGCAAGATCTTAAAAAAAAATATACAAAAATAACACAAAAATCTGATGTTTGACGATGAACCACGAATTATGCATAATAATATTGAAAAATATTTTAAGAATTTAAAAGATTTTTTAACATTTAATGTTGATATTTTCTTAAAATATTACGGTTATTATTTGTCATAATTTTTTAGCTTTAATATGTTAAATGGCTGATAAAAAAAAAATCCAAAATAAATTTCTATTAAAATAAAATTTAATTGAGATTACCTAAGTAAAAAAATTAATCATCCATTGGTTATCTTAAGGATTATTTTGCATAAATTCTTATATAAAATATATCTAATTAAATTTCTTTAAAAATTTGATGTTGAGAAAAAATTATTAAAAATTTGTTTACGTATGCACATATACAAAAAGCTTTATAAAATTAAATGCAAATATATATTTACAAATTTAACAATTGTTGCATAAAAATATTGTCTAAAACTAGCAATAGAGATATACATATAGATCTTACAATTAATGTATTACCGATGTTACTAATAAGTCTTCTGATGTAATACACCTGGCATTTTAAAAATCGAAATTTCGCGATTATCTGCAGCTTTCGAGCGTCTTAAATTACGGACATTAAATTTGAATTACGGGAAGGGAATCATAGGGCTATATGTGAACCTAGTAATTTCTCTCAAACCTCGAGATTCTTAATGGATCGCACTAACGATGTGATCTGAAAAATCGCTTCTCGAGATTGAATGTTTACGAAACATGCGTCGTTATAATGTATTCCTGTGATGAGTGTAATAACTCATCTGTAATTATATCTATCAACGATACCTAAATATCATCGATCATACTTTATACCTTTCAAGGTTTTAATGAAACATTTTAGTTGCTAAAACGATGTTTGTGTAAACAAAAATATGATTAATAATATTCAACTTTATATGTTATTTACATTTCATAATAATGAGCAATCCCATTTTACTTTTCTTTATCTCTTGCATTTTCATTTATATATCTCTAAGTAAATTATACTAAATTTTTACAAATTTTATCTTTGTGTATGTGTGACTCTAAATATTTAAAGCATTTGATTCTGTCAAATAAAAAAGAAAAGAAACGTCTTCTCTCAATATTCTCATAATATTTGAAAATATATAAGTAAACAGGATATCCATAAAATTGTTATCTTCTTTTTGTGTATGTTTGTGGTGGGGGGGGGGGGGGGGAGGCTTAGACTCCTCTTTCTTGAACTACTATATCAACATAGATATATATGACATTAATTATAATATTATAAAAATACATATTGCATTTTACAAATATGGTGATATAACATAATGACATTTAAATTATTCTTCATACAATATTTATATTTCTAACCGTGTTTGCTTTAATCAAACTATGCTAATTATAAATAATTTTATGGCGCCACGATTGCTTTTTCTGCAAGTATATAATTTGCAACGTTATTTGCACATAGTTGCAAAGACGGAAGACCATCCGTGCTTTTTCGAGATCGATCGTTACCAGCATTATTACCCAACTGTCAGGATAATCTGCGGTGAGAATCACGAGCTGTGATAGATAGATACAAAGAAGCGGGCTCACGTGTGTGCCTGACTTGGAGGCGGCTATAGGGCAGGTGCGACTTTCAGGAGAATAATTAATATTCAGCGAGGAAAAAGTGGGCGAGAAAGGCCGACGATGGCCTCCTTTTATAAACAGTTGACGCGTTAGCGACTGAGACGCGCCGCTTGCTAGCCACGCACCTGGTTCTACTGCTTCGCATAAAGAGAAACTAAAAAGGCAAGAACATCTTCTCTCTCAGCAATTACGCCCATTATGGACGGACGTTCAGTTACCGTGATCACCTAACCTGAGACCGCTTAACTTAATTCGAAAATTATGCGCTCGGCTGTGCATCAGTGGTGAAATGATACGGCGTGGAGGACCTGCGTGCGTTTCCGTTATTAATACCGGAGATGTCCCCTCGCCTTCTGGTGCATGCGTCGACTAATTTATGTCGGTGGCGGAGCGCTTTATATAGTACCTTGTAAAGAACATCCTTGATCTTGCTCTTATCAAAGTCTGCATCGATAAACGTGACTCTATTTGCGAAATTATCTGCTAATTTCGTCATTTAATATCGATTAAAATTTCTCCCTCATTTATTATATTGTAATAAATGCCCCTTAAAAAAACTTTTAATTAACACTATTTTTTTATACATATTTGCACAACTTTCTGATTTCTATTATTTCTATTATTTGAATATTGAGTTGAAGTTCTGTAAAATTAAATGAAAAACGAAGTTTAGTTCCAACTTGCTTTTTTATAGCTTAATCCATCGCGATATATGATCCCTGGTATATCCACAAAATATTAATAATAAATATTATAACGTCTACTTTGTAGTATGATCAAACTGTCCCACCACGAAACAGGTTTATGGCTCGCTCGCCATCGCGATTCCCGCATCGTCATCCCCAATGATATCATTATCGGTAATCTAAATAAAAAAACAGATGATCGGCCCCTGCTTGTCAACGGAGGTATCGTTCGATCGTGCCGCGCCAGAAATTGCAGCTGCAGAAAACGAGGAAAACTTGTGATCAGATAAGAGTAAAAGCAGAGGGCGGTGTAAGGGAGTAACGGGTGGGAGGGAGGGAGGGAGATAAAGAGCGCTCGTGGAGAGGAACGGAGAAGTACAAATTACGGGGGCACCCGGAACCGTTCTTGTGGCCGTGTTAACTTTCGTCGCGTGCCTTCGGGAAATACCTCAACTTTTGCAGCCACGTGCTATCGTTGGGGCATTATAAACTAAACTTTCCATCGTTCACCTTTGTCCTCCGTCTGCCTTAGCCCTTCCTTGCGCGCGCGTTTATGATGAAGTTTATAAATTATCTGTGTAATCGCTTTTTTTTTTTTTTCAAAGACGATACGTTCTTATCATTGAAAAAGATTTTTTCTTTTTTTTGTAGATGCTTAATATTCAACAATATTAAGTCTATTTGGGTGATTTTAATTACATAATTGCTTTTGCATTATACGATCGATATATAATAAAAATTTTAATTACATAGGTTGACAAATTTACTTATATATATAACGGCAGAAATGTAGAACAAAGTATACACGAAATATTACATATTTTTATAAATAAATTTTTATATGATATATATTTGTAATGCGCTTTTTTATATATTACTCGTATTTATTTTATAAAATTTTCCTTAAAGAAGGAGGCTTTCCATATCGCGTTTTTTCTATCTGTAAGATTCAATTGCGATTACAATTTATCCTCACGAATCATGTAAATGCATTGCAATTTCAGATACGAAGCTGTGGATCGTCTTTTTCAAGAAGTAACGAGCGCCTATAGAGACTCGGAGATCGATTGGATGCTAGTGTACAATGCAGGTTGCACTATAGATGATACAATTCTACCTGATCACGTGACAGAACCAAACGATCTCGATCGCTTGATTAATGGAACATTCAGACTGTTTTTGGCGGCTCTTCCCACACTTCCAACAATTGTCACCATAGCCAGGTAAGTCACTTCATCAAAAAGCTTCAAAAAACTTTAAATGCGTTAAATAAATTATTTTTATTTTTCTCCAATGAAACAGTACACATGATGTACCAAAAAAGATACAACACGATAGTAAATATGTATTCTTTAAAAAATCTTTATTTTTTTATTGATTACCTATAAACTGATTTATAATGACGTGATTATGTCACTGGCCTAAATTAAATATATTTATAAATGTGAAATAAACTTTATATTTCTTGAGTGTAATATTATTTAATTTTTTTATTTATAATATGAAATTTTATTATAATTAATAAAATCGTGTTAATGTCTCAGGTGTTACATCATATTGCACTGTGTGAAAGTATGAAATAATATTAATGCTAGAAATTAGGTATAATCGCGTGCAAGAATCGTGATAAGAGGCTTGTGCAGCATCTTTAAAAAAGTGGAAGGTCCAAGTTGGCAGTCGCGGTAGGTGATGCTCTTCGTGCACATACTGACGATCAAATGCTCGGCTCGTACAAATTAATTTTAATGTACGGTTTCAAGGGCTGAAATTATATTGTCTCGCTTTTACACGCGCGAAACCGAGACCCGCAATACCGCAGATGGCGCGGAAGAAGATGCTGGGAGGGCACGAAATAGAGAAGAAGGGCGGCTTACAGAAGCGACACGGCGGGGCTGTCCGAGGGGTGGGTTTAGGATCGTAGGTATACCGTTAAGCCCCACCCTTCAGATGGGTTTCACATAGGGGTGCACAAAATCAAACCATCCAACTTTCGCGTATCATAACTAGATGTCCCTGCTTCCGATTTCCCGAAATAAATGATAGATATTGTATGTTTCTTTCTCTCTCTCTCAGCTTTATTTCATCATTTTCTAGATAATAAAGCGAGTAGCATACGGCGATATTTCTCTTGAAATTACAAAATAATTGAGTGAATACAACACCTATAATTTAGTTGTAAATAGAAGCCGTAAATACGAATTCTCTCTCATTTGTTTAATAGTAATATACAATATTTTCCTTGATGTTTATGAAGAGACCTGCTGATATGTTCAAATATTATTTTAAAAACATGCTAGTGAAGAATTGCAACTTATATTGATACATATGAATGCAATTACTATGTGATAATATATATAAACAGATAATAAAAACTATCTTGAATACGATAAAAATCATATGAATATTGATGTGAAAATATACGTTTAGATAAATTAATAAACACAAATTTACATAAGAAATTTATTGGACAGCCTTTTAAGAATTTGATTTAATGAAGATATCTTGCTCGTGTATAATGAAATAAATGCTGAAGATATTTTATCGTAAAAAATGCTGACCAATAGGAAGAGAAAAATGTGTATATATTTTACTAACAAATATTACTTTTTCTTTACATCACGTTGTCACGTTCCTGATTTTTTTCTAAAAAATGTATAATTTTATTTTAACATATATAATTAATTTTATATATCTATATAAAAGATACAAAGCAACAAACTTTGAAATAATCTTGTAAGTGGTAACTTGGCGCCATCTCGTGATAAATGCACGGAGATTCTGCTCAAACTTCCGGCAGAGACTAAAAAAAAATCGATTCTACCCCATTCGACGTATCGCCACCCCTTGCTCTGTCCCCAACCCTCATTTCAGCACATTAGTTTCCGGGGGTAACGCCGCCGGATATCGCCTCTGGACAGTTTACAGTTTCTCTCGTAGTTTGCCAAACGGCGATTAAGCGATCAGAGACAAAAATTGACGAGGGCGAAATGGAACAGAAGAAACATTGAATCGCTAGGAAAGCGAAACTGATGAAAATAGAAAAATTGATGGTCATGAAAAAAAATTAAAATCGAAAATAAATGAAAGTGCAATTCTTTTAACTACTGACTCTATAATTAGCATTTTCTGTCTTTTCCATTTTTTATCTTGTTTTTGCATTGGCAATTAATTGCTCAGCATTTTTATATAAGTCCTTTATTTCTTTAATATAGATTTTTTTTAATAAAAAATTGGGTACTATATTCAATACAAAAGAAAGTTGTAAATTGATAAAAAATGTATGAAAAGTACTTGTTTTAAAGCGAGAGAGATTTGGAATAACGGCATATTCTATTATATGAATAGATATCTTAAATCTTATTTTTAGAAGTCGACAAGTATAGCTGTTTTTCTCAGTTACATCCATAAATAACTTAATAATATTTCTTGTCTTACAGATCAAGCGAAGACGATTATACTCCTCTCGAAAACGTCGATCAAATTCAAGTTGACGTCCTCGATCAACTCCGCGAACGCTTGGGACCGGAAATAGATGTTAAATTGATTTATCAACAAAACGAAGAACAGGAGTAAGTCTTGAAAAGGAATGTATCTCTCACATACTATTATCTTGGAATTATAATTTATCAAACAAAAGCATGTTCATACCAATATACACGGACATTTTATACAATTATAATTATATATAAACGTATATTAATCTGCATATGGGAATCATAATATTATATCGATTAGCAATTATAAATAAAAAATAGACAGGTAAATATTATCATTTACTATTCGATGAATAGGAAAATTTTAACATATAATATTATATAATATTTATTTAACACAAAAGAAAATTGTAATTCGACAAAAAATGTATGAAAAAGAGGAATTATAATAAAGCGATTTGGAATATAACGGTATGCTATTACATAAGTATAGATATAATCTTAAATCTTATTTTTAAAAGAGTCAAACAAGCATATAGCTCTTTCTCTCTTTAAACAACAATCGAGTTTTTCTCGCACGATCGCCCCTCGTAGTAACTACGACATTTCAGACGGCTCGTATTATTCGAAGCGCGTCGCGTGAATCTCTCGGAGATCTGAAGATCGTAAGACACAGACACGAGGAAGGGACGTGGCGAGTCTTTGATCGCGCGGCAGCGATTTACATAGGATCGGTGCCACTGGTCCACTGGTGGAACGCGAATACAATACCGATATGCGAAGGTTGTCGCTTCTTTTTTTTTTTTTTGCAACCAAGTTGCCCCCTACCCTCTCTCAGTGTCGATCCTCTCGTACCACCAGTCTCGGATTTGCATACCTTGGGCAAGTTTCCCACACGTCTCAACAGCTTCCGTCTCGTCTCGGTCCCACCTCTCTCACTTTGCATCTCTCGCTCTCCCTCTCGTCCCTGCCTTCCTCTCCGACGTTTCCGCGCAACCCTTTCAACTGCCGACGAAGACAAAAACGCGGGAGTACCTCCAAAAAAACCTCAACGTCTTCCTTCTCCCACGACGATGACGTTTCCTGGCGAGACGGCTCGCAAGACCTGTCTATTGTGGACACGGCACAACGAATTTGGAATAGATGTGTTTTCCTTTTTTTTTTTTTTGCGTACGTCAGTTTGAAATGATTGACGGAGCGGAAGACGCGAGCACCCGTACAGCCTCCTCAGTCTGGATCTTTATTAAACATACGATTTTAATATGTATTAGTGTCTGAATATCATTAGAAGCATATAATTGTCATTTTTTATATATACGTACGTTTATAATTTTTTAAGCAGTAACAAGAACGATAATATCTGCTAATAATAATGAAAAATACAATAACGTTAATTAATTTATTTTTATATGATATATTTTTTATTTTATTTTTATTTTAGTATTTAATTTCTTTATAATAGTCTTATAAAAAATAGATATACATATCAAAATAATTAATTGGGAAATATTAATGAAAAAGGATTTGAATAAGTTCTCATTTAATACTTGTTTCTCGTTTTTCTGCTTTATTACTTTTTATCATAAGTCATCGTAAAATTCGCGATCCACAAATTGGAGAAAACTTTAATAACATTTATGTCGTCCCATTTTGTGGCCAAATGCATATACACGGCTTTATACAATATATTTTAAAATAATAGATTTATCTGCTTGTAAGAGTACATACTCTGTTAAAAAAGACTTTATGGATATTTTAAATCATAGAGGTTTTAAATTACAGAGACCTTAAAAACTACAGAGCCTGTAATTTACTTGTACAAACTATTTTTCTTTTTTTTTTTTTTTTAATATAATAAATACATCGAAAATTTGTAAACATTTCGGCAGCTTTCGGTTTTTGCCCGACGACGAACGGTAACGCCGGGATAAACATTAAACGAGGAAGGCGAATGCGGAAGTGTGGTCGCGCGACTAAGGGGCGAACGTTAAGGGATAACCACAAGAAGAGAGGAGAAAGAGAGAGTTTACGAGTCACTAACCTCCCGAGTAATGATTGTCGTTAACCGCCTCGCCGTGCGGGCTGCTCGGCCTCGCTCGGCCCGCAGCCGAGACTTTTGTATGCTAATGACAGGGTGGTCCGATTTCATCCTACGGCCAAGGCAAAAAATCTTGGGGGTCAACAGACCCGTCGTTAGCCCGAGTTTTAAGTCTCCCTCGAGCGCCATTGACCTCGAATTAAAAACCGGGTGCAACCTTCCGTCCCGCCCGGAAATTTTACGACGGGACTCTTCTCGCCATGTAATGTAACACCTTCGCTTATTTACTCTTGCATCTTGCACTTTTTCTCTCAGATATATGATCATCTCAGATGGTGGATCTTACGAAGAAAGGATATGGTATATAAAGGCGCTAATTGTGTCCTTTATAAATGTGCTACTTTAAGAAATGCGTTTCTTGAAGGGATACGAATTTCTATTATCATGCCATGCTTATTTTATTGAGAAACACAAGATATATTTTTTTAGAAGAATATAGGTACATAAAAGAGTATGAATTTATTTAATCACGGAAAATTTCCTTAGATACAGTAATTATTAAATGAATTCGTTATGAATAAAATATAAATATACATACAAAATGATAATGTATCTTCCTTCTGCATAGCAATAAAATTAAAATTATTTATAATATTTTATTGTTTAAAAAGTATTAAGAGTTGAAAGTTAAGATCTAGATTTTTATATTAAGCAGATTTATGAAATCGAGAAATAAAATACAAAAGAGTCTCATATATTGTGCAATTTTAACTGATAGCACTGTGCAATTCATTATGATTAAATGTCTAATGCAGATTGCAAAGTTTAATTGTCAAACTGTGAACAATTTTAACTAGTGATAACTGAATAATTGAATAAATTAATTAGAAATTTTTATCAATATTTTTGCCATCCGAATTACAGCTCCGCGAATGTAATTATTGTTTTTTTAGCGCGCAGACTCTTTATAATTCGCAATTTTCTCTTCTCTCTCACGGTCGTTCGCATTTCATTCATCCAGGTGACACCGTGTCAGTGGGTTCTAAGGGAATTATTCAAAACCAGCCCTGACTGGCAAAAGTGCAGCCGTCCCTGGAACTGTAATCCCATACCCGTATCTGATCTGCATAAAAGAATAAAAAAAACATCGCGCGGGAAAAAAACAAAAGCGCGGTGAAATTTGTTTGATAGGCTCTTTGTAAAATAAATTTATATAAAATGAAATTTCCACACACATCCGTGCGACATACATATATATATATATATATA